AACCAAATTTAAACCTTTTTTCTGCGTACACACCCTTCCTTCACCGTCATCACACACCCACTCTGAAGCAGATGCTTCCTCCATGTAGTCCTCCCAGGGCCTTCTTTCAGCCTTCGGGTACAGTGTGCATTATAAACCTCTTCATTTTCCCTGAGGTTTGAGTTTTGACCTGATCTCCACAGAGGAATGTAAGATTGACACAACAGAGATAACATAGGTTAAAAGATGTGGTGTTGGGAAACCTACTACTTATTCCAGTTCTGCTCCCGTTGAGACTCACAAAGCCCTTCCCCTCTCTGCAGTTTATCCATCTGTAAACGTCCATCTGCTTAGGACACAGGGTGAGACACTCTATTCCTTTCCATCATTCTCTGGCTTCATCTCACCTGAACACAGGGTGGGATTGTGAGACTGCAAGCATTGAACCAAGAGCTGGACAGCTGTGGGTCTGTACATCAGCTGTGTGTGCACATCTGTGTGCCGCTGGACAGCTGTGGGTCTGTACACCAGCTGTGTGTGCACATCTGTGTGCTCTGGACAGCTATGTGTCTGTATCCCAGCTGTGTGTGCACATCTGTGTGCGCTGCACAGCTGTGTGTCTGTATCCCAGCTGTGTGTACACTTGTGAGACTGCATGGGTCCTTGCCAGTGTGCCTGTATCCACACATGGAAGTCAGAGGGAAATGTCCCGAGTCGGTTCTCATCTTCCAGCTTCTAAAGACAGGATCTCTCTTGTTGTTTCTCTATCAGCTATTCCAGGCTAGCAGGCTCACAAGCTTGCAGACGGTTCTCCTGTCCCCTTCACTGGGCTTTGGCTGGGATTACAGATGCATTCCTCTGCATCTGGCTTTTTGTGTGGGTTCTGGGGATGGAACCCAAGCCAGTAGGCTTTGTGGCTTTTACTAATTTACTAATTGAGTCATCTCCCCAGCCCTAGTGGTGTGGCTTTTGAGAAAATTACCTGACATCTCTTGAACTCAAGTTTCCTCTCTCATGGTTTGGAGAGTAAAATACACATCTCCAGCCCTGAAGTATACTGGTGAGAACCAGAGACGGGGAAAGCCCCCAGTGGGAACTAGAGCAGGACTAAGACATCGTCATGTACATTTTCAAGACAACTTTGGGATTGCTGTTTAGTCACCGGGTGAAACAAATATTATATTGGCCAGGGCCTCCAGCCAAGAGCCTCAGAATCACAAACAGAAGCAGCCTGCAGCTGTGTCCCGTTCAATTGCCACGTGTAGGAAACAGTGACCACTGGGGAACCTGCTCCTCCTTTATGCTGGGCTGCAAGGGCTGGTGCTTGGCTACCTGGGGGCTCGCAAGTCCAAGGAGGTTTAATCAGTAACCTGAAGAGTAGGTGAGGTGATAAGGAGAAGAAAACAAAAGCCCTGGCGCTGGTTTATTTCTACGACCGCCCTATGCCAGTCTAAGGGCAGAGAACCCTTTCCATGGCAACCGCAGCCAACAGACCTCACCAGCTTCAACTGTGACTCACGAATCTGCCCTTCAGAACCGACAGCTGTGTTCCCTTTCCTGTGCACTCCAACTCTCACAGCTACGCCAAGACATAGGTCCCTCTGAGCGTCCTGTCCCTTCTAAGCTGTCCCCAACCCCACTGTCTACATCCCCTCTGCTCTGTTCAGGTGGGGCCTCCCTCCTTAGGGCTCAGTAAATACAATGCTTGCTGTGTGTACACAAGAGCCTTAGTTCAAATCCCTAGGCCCCAGGTAATAGGTAGGATCGCAAGGGTTTACAAGCCCAGCACAGGGGTTGGAGACAGCAGATCCCAGAGTCAGCCAGTCTAGCTGAATGGTGATCTCCACATTTACTGAGAGACCTTGTCTCAAAAAAATGAGGTGGAGAACAATAGGAAAAGACATCTAACAATTATTTCTGACTCCATATGTGCATGCATGGAAATAAATCTCCATTCTCTTGAATTTTACAACAAATTCTAAGAAATATCACCAAAACCATGAACAAAAAATACAAAATCAATAATTCTGCCAAATATAAAATCTTTGTATCTTTGTACATCAAAGGATACTGTTCAGAAAGTGAAAAGACAAATCCTTGCAAGTTATGCACCTGTTAGGGGTCTAGAATCCAAAGTATTATAAAGAATTTTTAGCCGGGCAGTAGTGGTGCACGCCTATAATCCCAGCACTCAGGAGGCAGAGGCAGGCGGATCTCTGTGAGTTTGAGGCCAGCCTGGTCTACAAGAGCTAGTTTGAGGAGAGGCTCTAAAAGCTACAGAGAAACCCTAGCTCGAAAAACAAAACAAAAGAAGAAGAGGAGGAGGAGGAGGAAGAGGAGAAGGAGGAGGAGGAAGGAGGAGGAAGAGGAGGAGGAGGAGGAGGAGGAGGAGGAAGAGGAGAAGAAGAAGAAGAAGAAGAAGAAGAAGAAGAAGAAGAAGAAGAAGAAGAAGAAGAATTATTTTTGTCCTTGAACATGGAGACAAACAGTCCAATTTTTAAGTCTTTGTATGTAGGCCAGACCAGATGGTAATGTTTAAGAGGAATAAAATAAATGTGGTATGCTAAAAACTTTAAAAATATTTTCTTTGTTTTACAATCAGTTCAATGTGTCCTAACCTTGTGAAAACATTTTTATATGATTGATAAATTTTGGACAGGCCAAACATTAAGTTATCTGAATTTTTAAGTTCCATCATTTTTTAAGTTTTTATTAAATGTTGTAAAGGCATAAAGGTTATTGGTTCCAAAAGTTAAAGGTGTGTGCTGAAGAACTGGAAGCAAATGCTATGAACTCCAGGATTTGACTTATAAGACTGCTGGAAAAATGAGAAGGAAATAATGAACCAGGAGCAGCAAAGGATTGCATTGCTAAAGAAGCAGTTTATCATGCACGACAGTGATGCTGTAAAGCTTGTGTGCAGAGAACGTTTGCTGGGATCCAGACTGGTGCAGCCCTCAACCCTCTTCAGAGCTTCTTGAGGAGCTGGAATTGACACAGAGACCCACAGCAGGAGCACGTGCGGAGAGTGGGAGACTCTGGAGCGCTCGGCCCTGAATGAGATGTCTGTATCCAGCCCTCTGCTCAAGGTTCAGGATCTATGCAGAAGAGGAGAGCAAAGACTTACGAGCCAGAGGTGGGGGATGACTCCGAGGAAAGAGAAGCATCCAGAGGAAATGGGGCTGATGCACAGAGACTGTGACTGCATGAGCAAGATCTGGACAAGTCCAAGCCATAGAATCCCAGGACTCAGAAGGGAAAGTGGATACAAAGTCCCACCTCTAATCAAGAAGCTATTTACTATTGATACCTACAGGGAGAGGGAAACTGATTTTCTCTGGTGGAGTGTCACCGGGTACATGAACCCCTCTCCAGGACAGGCCTCATGCTTGGGGGTAGTTGGTCAACACAAAGCAGACTCCAAGTTTTTGTGTATTCTCTTCTTGTTGTTTGGTTTGGTATTTTTTTTATCTTTTTGTTTGTTTGTTTGTTTTGATGTTGTGGGTTTTTTTCTTCTTTCAGAAGAGAAAGAAGAAATTGGGTGTGTAGGGAGGTGGGGAAGATCTAGGAAGAGTTGGGGAGAATATGATCAAAATATATTGCATGGAAATTTTTAACAATTCCTTTAATTTTTCCTTGTGTATATGGAAGAGCTGAAGAGATGGCTCAGTGGTTAAGAGCATATGCTGCTCTTCCAGAGGACCTGGGTTTAGTTCCCAGCACTCACATCAAGTGGCTCACATCCACCTATCACTCCAGCTTCAGGAGGCTCCAATGCCTTCTTCTGGCATGTGGATTCCCGCACACAAATCCACACACAAAGACAGTCACACGCACATATCCACACAGAGAGACATTCACATGCACATATCCACACACAGAGACAGTCACATGCACATATCCACACACAGAGACAGTCATACACACATATCCACACACAGAGACAGTCACACACACATATCCACACACAGAGACAGTCACACGCACATATCCACACACACAGACAGTCACACGCACATATCCACACACACAGACAGTCACACGCACATATCCACACACACAGACAGTCACACGCACATATCCACACACACAGACAGTCACACACACATATCCACACACACAGACAGTCACACGCACATATCCACACACACAGACAGTCACACGCACATATCCACACACACAGACACATGCACTCACATGGTAGTTCACAGCTGCCTGTAACTCTAGTTCCAGGGAATCAAATGATAGGGCACTAAGAGTGCACACACACACACACACGCAAACTGACACATGAAGGGGTTGGTACAAGGGAGAATAAGGAACACAAAACATACATACACATAAATTTTAAATTAAAAAAAACATTTTTAAATCTATTTCTATAAGTTTAATTTTTTTAAACCCCACATATAAATAAGATCTTGAGCATTTATCTTTCTGCAATTGGCTTATTTCATTTAACATAATGGCCCCCGTGTTCACCCAAATTGTCAAATGCTGAGATTTTTTTTCTAAGACGTGTGTGTATGTGTGTGTGTGTGTGTGTGTGTGTGTGTGTGTGTTTGATAGAGAAGAGAGAGAGAGATGAGTTTCCACTTATACTTGCTGACGAGCAGTTTGGTCGACTCTATACCTTGACTACTGTAAATTAGACTTCAATAAATCTGGGAGTTTGTTATTTCTTTTACATGCTGCTTCCATTTCCTTTGGATATATTCCCTGGGATGGGGTGACGGCTCACGTGACATCTCAACCTTCCTTTAATCTTCTCGTCAAAGCAGCTTTTTCTGAACTTTCATGAACCTGATACATTTTCATCTTACAACACAGTGGAGGACAAGGAATCCCATTGAGCTCCATGGCTCCTTGATGCAGAAAACAGGACTTTCCCCTAAGGACCAAGAAGGCTAATGCGCAAAGTCCATAGAAATGTATGGTTGCTTCTTGGGATAGTGAGAAGATGAGCCAATGGCCAGCCTCCCTCCCCCATCCATCCCACAGGCCCCTGGCTATGCACTCACTGAGATCTTGGTAAATATGTACAGCAACAAGGACAGAACGGAAAGGTAGATCTGGATCCGCTTGCCTCCAAACCGCTTCCGCAGGTACTCTGGCATGGTCACCACCTGAATGGGATGAAATGGAGCCCAAGTGAACAGAGAGCCCAGGGCAAGCAGATAAATGGGGTCTATCCTGGTGTCAGAGCATCAGGAGTGGTCAGGGATTCAAACCCTTGTTAGCCCAGGAAGTCTACAAAACAGCCAGGTGCCATTTGCTTATTTCAGCTCCACATACCCTGTCCAGTAGACGTAGGGAGGCCCTAGCATTCAGCTGCAATGTATCAAAAGCATCCAATAAACACATGTTCTATAATACACACATGACTGGATGTAACCCAGGAGGCAGATGCTTGCCCTGGAGAAGGTGTATGCAAATGTACGTATGTGTTTGTGTGTGTCTGTCTCCCTGCCTGTGTCTGTGTGTGTTTTGTTTTCTATATAGTGCATCTACTATACAAGACAATGGTAGCCTCTTGCCAATGCCCCAGAGAAGTTATTCGAATGTGAATGTCACCTTCTTCTACACAGGCAGTACAAAGGATTGTAGCTACAGGCCTTCTCAAATTTTCCCTTCTGCAAATCCAGCCACACTTCCTGTTTTGCTCCCTATGGCCTTAGCCTGTTGTCTTCTGGGACCAGTTTGTCACCAGCACTCTGTGAGCTTCCAGAAGGTACAGTCTGCAGCTTGTCCTGTGTCACCTCTAGCTCCCCATGCAGACACTCACATGGCGGAGGTGCTTATCTACGTCACTGAAGAGGTGATGATGAAGCTATGTCTGGTCAGTCACTGGCTCCAAAACGGGAGGTGATGTTGTGCATAAATGAAGAAGGGGGAATAGTTTTTTTTTTCTCTCTCTTTCCCTTCTAGGGGAGGAAGTAACGAGCTCACAGCAGTGTATCATAAGAACACACTCAGAGAAAGGGTGGAGGATGCTTCAGGGGGCTCTGAATATAGTAGGGTCACCCAGGGACCTTCCTAGATGGAAGAGCAATAAACCTGGACTGAACAGAGCCAGAGGGACTGTTTGATGCCCCTACACAGAATCAGGAGCTATTTTAAAACCTAGGACTGAGGGTAGACCTGGACAATTCTCTGTCATTTATGCCATAAAGTCCCCTGTGCCCTCCAAGGACAAAGTTGGATAATGGAGCGGTTACTTACCCCAGCCTTGATGTAGATGGGGACAAACACCCAGCCCAGCACAACCACAAAGATCAAGGCCTATAACCATAAGAAGAGTTAACTCAGATCAGGAAAAACTTCTACATCTCTGCTTCTCTCAAGAGATGCTGAACTGCTATAGAAAATCCCCACCTCTCTCTATCCCTTCCTTCCTAAGGGGCTTGGATAGACTTTGCTACTGGCATGGCCTATGGCAAAAGCATGTGAGCAACATTGGGAGAGAACCCAGGATGCTGCACATCAACACAGCCCGGACTCCCCACTGTCAACACAGCATGGACTCCCAGCTATAGTTCTGAGTTCTCTTTCTTCTCTTCCCTGGTTTATAAAGAATAAAATACCACTTAGAGAAGAAGGGAAAGAAAGAAGGGAAGGAAAAGGAAGGGATGAGGTAGGGAGGGAGGGAAAGAGGGAGGAATGGAATAGGAAGGGGAAAAGGAGATCCAGTAGCATTTCCCAATGCCTAACTTGGCTAGAGGAGGCCTTGTCTTTGAGGACCAAGGGAAGGGGGCTCCTGTGATTGTCATAGCTAGCGGGCCTCTCATGTGAATGCTCCTGGAGTCAAACCCTACTGCACCCAGGTGCTTCTGAGGATCCCATAAGATCTCAAGATCCTGAACACAGACTGAGCTGCCTGCTACGACTCCGCTATCATCGCATAGGGGAAGTTTGGTCCTTAGTGTAGAAAGGTGGGGGCTCTTTATGAGGTGGCAGAGCACACTGGGACTTCCTTGTGTCCTTGAGAGCACTGTTCAGAAGTGACTGGGGTAATTCTAAAGGGACTCCTCAGCTGTTCCGGGGGGGGGGGGGGTTACAAAGCCAGTCTTGGTTCTATCTTACTCATCTTCCTGAGTGGGTGATGTCCCTCAATCATTTGCCATCCACACTGAGGCTCCACGGTCCAGAGGGAGCCTCACAAGAGCTGTACCATGCTGTTTAAACCTCAGCCTTCAACTCTGTTGACTGAAGAAGTACCTCTCCTTTACAAAGTTAACCTGTCTCCAACATTTCATCATAGCAATGAAAATGGAACTGAGGACCAGCTCCTTCTACCTCTAGGACATGGAGGCTCAGGTGATACTCACGTTCCATTCAAAGCCACCCATGGCGATGCCTGAGGCTGCTCCTGTCCCCGCCAGCCCCACAAAGTGACCACTTCCAATGTTGCTGGCAAAGAGAGAGGCTCCGATCTGGAAACAAAAAGTGATAAATAAATACAGTTAGGTGAGCAGGACACTCTGGCTGGGACAACGGAAGAAGAGACGTGCCCGCCAAACGAAGGCACTTGAGCAATCAGAGACCAGCTGGGGTAATTCTAAAGTGACTCATCATTGAAATCTGTGGGACCACATCCCACAGCAGCCATGGGGACTTGGGAAATAACAAAACACAAAGAGAGGCTCGAAAGAGCAGTAGGTCACATCGACATCCACATCTGTCTGTCATTTTTGAATCTGATTTAACTGTGAGGAGGCCCTGGGAAGTCCCCCAGCTCACCAGGGTGCCCTGAGCCTCCTGGGACTGTCTGCTCAGAAGCAAGGCTGAGCCTTTCACCTCCACACCCTGTCAGAACAGGTGGTGGGGCCACACAGTCCTCAGTAAGTGCAGATGCTCTTGAAGGCGATCATAGAGACCCCTGACCCCAGACTCCTTGTCGAGAAAGAGTGCAGAGCTGGTGCCTTCTGTGTGGTTTCCTGACATGAAATTTTGGGATTTCATGTGCTCAGAAGTAACACAAGATACTGTTAATGACAAGTAGTCTCTAAATCCACACCACATTGCCGTTTTTCTTCTACAGAGGTCCTGGAGGTGCCCCAGGAACAATCAAAAACCACCGCACTTTTCAGGAACACCCATATATATCTGACAAACAATTAAGAAGATGTTCATTAAATCCCCAAGAGTAGAGGATGTGAGGATGAAACTGAAAAGGGGGCTGTGCATGGGAACTGAAGGAGAAAATAGCAACCGGGGCCTGGAGAGATGGCTCAGCAACCAAGAGGACACATTGCTCTTGCAGAGGCGCCAAGTGAATGAGTGCAGGCCTGAAAAGACCAGGGTGACTGGAGTGTGATGGACAGGGTGGCATGAGAGTGGGCATTCACAGAAGCGGATGCGTCCAGACTACCTCGGGCTGCATAGCAAGTTCCAAGCCAACCTGACTGTGTAGTGACATACTGTCTCTTGTGGGGAAAAAAAAGGGGTGTCCAGAAGAGGATCACATGGTCAGGCTCTCTAGCCAGTGACCTCCAGGGTCACTATCTCTACCCGATACCCCATCCCTCGTGTTGGGTCTACAGGAGTGAACTGTTGTGTCGCATTTTGCATGGGGATTGGAGATCCAAGCGTAGGTCCGCATGCTTGCTGTCCTAGTTAGGGTCACTGTGCTGTGATGAAACACCGTGACCAAAAGGATGTGGGGAAGAGAGGGTTATTTGGCTCACACTTCAGCATCATGGTCCATCATTGAGGGAAGTTGGGACAGAGACTCAAACAGGGCAGGAACCTGGAGGCAGGAGCTGATGAGAGACCATGGAGGAATTCTGCTGACTGGGTTGCTCATCGTGGTTTGCTGAGCCTGCTTCCTTATAGAACCCAGGGATGGCACCACCCATAGCAGACTGGGTCCTCCCACCATCAATTATTAATAAGAAAATGCCATACAGCCAGATCTCACGGAAGCATTTTCTCAACTGAGGCTCCCCCTTTCAGATAACTTTAGCTGTGTCAAGTTGACATAAAATGAGCCAGCACACTTGCAGGGCAAGCACCCACCGCGCCTTCTGCCTGGTGCTGCAGGTTATGTCCAAACAGACAAAGCCTTTTCAATGACAACATTCGCTGTTGACAAGCAGAGTTATGTTTGTGTATTTCTAGTTTAGAAATGAAACCGTGACTCCTTCTGCTCCACCATCTGATTAGCGTGCATATGGATGCTCTAGTTTTTAAACTCTACCTTAAGAACGTTGAGAGACACAGACAATGAGGCTTCGTTGGGACATTTACTGCTGTGCTATTATAACAGAGGAAAACATGTTTCCAAATAAAATGCTCAACTATAGGAAAACAATTTGATAAACGAAGATTCACACTAATGGTGGAATACTATGAAGTCATTGAATTAAATGAGCTTTGGAATTTTTACTTTAACAAGGGACATGGTCAGGAAAAAAAAAATGAAAGCAATGCCTACAATACCGGACCTCAGGAGGATTACCACAAATTTCAGACTGCCCTGGTCAACATAGCAAGTGCCAGCCAGATCAGTTAAGCTATGTCAGAAACCTGTCTCAATAAATCAAAATGGAGACAGGTCAGGTGGAGCACTCCTGGATCCCAGCACTTCAGAGTGAGGACAGGAGCTTCAGGAGTGCAGTTACACATTGATTGCAGTCAGTGAGGGCACAAGAGACCTCGCTTCAAAATAACACAAATGATAGCTTCACCTCACATAACCTATATGATCCTCAAAATATTTAAGTGCATGTATGTATGCATGTATATAGATAAATTGACAAATATAGATCCATATTCTGGCACAATCATGTTTGGAAGAGAAAACACAGAGCATATATTTATTTAATTTTACTTTTTATACTTTTTCTAATTTTTTACAATGATTTATGAATATAATTCATATATATTCTTTATATAAGTCTTTAAACCCTCCAGTGCCCTCTCAGACTCACTGACAGAGCCTGAAGACTGAGAACAAAGCAGGCAGGTAAGTTCAGTATTGGTGTTGTATAAAAATGTCACCAAGAGCTGGGAGACGGTTCCTCAGGGAAGGGACCTCGCTGCCACATTTGACAACCTGAGTTCAACGCCCAGAATCTAAATGGTGGGAGGAAAAATGGAGTTCCCACAAGTTCTCCTGTGACTTCCACACACATGCATGGCATGTGCACCGCATCAAATACGTACACAGGAACACGCTGTCATTTAACTAAACAAAGAAATGAATTAAATGTGGCAAAGGCCACTGACTGCTAACTACAATTGCATTCTGTGTGAGAAGTAGAAAAGAGACATCTGACTCCCAGCTGAGCTGGCATCAGAGCTCGGAGGAGTGTACACTCAACCGTGCTGTATGCAAATGAAAACAGAACTACGTCACAAAGGAAAAAAGCAATTCTAAGCCCACACTGATGTTGTGTATCAGGTGTGGGTTCACGTGGGTCTGTGGATAGAAGACACAGAGGCGCTCGCAGGATGATGTCTAGCCTTCCCAGCTGGAGTAGAGTCAGCCTCTGGAGCACTGACTCTCCAGAGCTTAGCAAAAGGCATTTCTGTTGTTATCCAGTTTACACCTTTAGCAAGTTGATTTCCATATCCCCAAACCTCCATTCTAAGCTTCCCAAAGGGACAAGGGCAAATGCAAATTCTCAGTTAATGGACATTCATTTTGCATAGGCTTTGCACCTTTAGAAAACTCAGGCAAACAAGATTCACATATTTCTTTTGTTTGTTTTTTGATTTTTGTTTTTCCAAGGCAGGTTTCTCTGTATAGCTTTGGAGCCTGTCCTGGAACTTGCTCTTGTAGACCAGGCTGGCCTTGAACTCACAGAGATCTGCCTGCCTCTGCCTTGTGAGTGCTGGGATTAAAGACCTACGCCACCACTGCCTAGCAAGATTCACATATTTCAAACAGAAGGTACCAGAGACAAAAAGGCAGCGGTCACAGAAGACAGGTTAAAGCGAGGTGCTAACTCCAGAATCAAAATCAAGACCAAAGGACAGCAGCAGCCTGTGCACACCCAGGACCCCGCATCACTCCTCCTCCGAGCACAGGGGGCGCTCTCTGACCTGCTTCTAATACTGCCCTTGACATAGCAAATTACAGGACCTGAACTCAGTTGCTCTACTGCTTTGAGCTTCACTTTCCCCTACTCTAAAGCAAGAATAAGAATCCCTTTCTGCCAGACAGGTGTGGTACAGTGTACCCTATATCTCATCCCTTGTGAGTAGAGATGGAGGGACAGATGATCAAGTCCAGCCATGGCTAAATAGCAAGCCTGAGGCCAGCCTGGGCTACATGAGATCCTGTCTCAAAAAGAAAAATGGATTATTTGGAATTTTGATGTCTAATTTCTTGAGTTCTTTATATATTTTGGAGATTAGTCCTCTGTCTGATGTGGGGTTGGGGAAGATCTTTTCCCATTCAGTAGGCTGCCTTTTTGTCTTATTGACTGTGTCCTTTGCTTTACAGAAGCTTCTCAGTTTTAGGAGGTCCCATTTATTTATTGTTGCTGTCAGTGTCTGTGCTACTGGTATTATATTTAGGGAATGGCCTTCTGTGCCCATGCATTGAAGGCTACTTCCCACTTTCTCTTCTATCAGGTTCAGTGTGGTCAGATTTATATTGAATCATTAACTCATTTGGAATTGAGTTTTGTGAGTGGTGATAGATATGGATCTATGTGCATTCTGCTACATGTTGACATTCAGTTATGCCAGCACCATTTGTTGAAGATGCTTTCTTTTTTTCATTGTATAATTTTAGCTTCTTTGTCAAAAATCAGGTGTTTATAACTGTGTGGATTAATATGAGGGGAGGAGGGCTTGAGGGAATGGGATAGTAGAGATGGGGGAAGGACAGAGACAGAGAGCAAGGAAAGAGGTATCTTGATTGAAGGAGCTGTTAAGGGGTTAGCAAGAAACTTGGCACTAGAGAAGTTCCCAGGAATCCACAAGGATGACCCCAACTAAGACCCTAAGCAATAATAGGGTTCCCAAATTGGCCTTGCCTTGTAGTCTTATTGATGAATATCTTAAATGTCACCATAGAAACTTCATCCAGAAACTGATGGAAACAGAGGCAGAGATTCATAGCAGAATTTTGGGCTGAGCTCCCAAAGTCCAGTTGAAGAGTAGAAGGAGTGAGAATATGAGCAAAAGGTCAAGATCATGATGGGTTCACCCACTGAAACAGTCTGCCTGAGCTAATGGGAGCTCACCAACTCTGGCTGAACAGAGAAGGAACCAGCAGAGGACCAAACTAGACCCTCTGAATGTGGATGACAATTGTATGGCTGGGGAAGACTGTGGGGTCACTGGCAGTGGGACCAGGACTTATCCCTACTGCTTGTACTGGCTTTTTGGAACTCATTCTTTTTGGAGGGATACCTTGCTCAGCCTATATATAGTAGGGAAGGCCTTGGTCCTTCCTTAAATCAATGTGCCTTACCCT